TATTTATTTATTTATTTATTTATTTATTTATTTATTTATTTATTTCTCTGTTTGTTTGTAATTGTGTTTGTTTGTAGAGGGCGATAGTTGGGTTAGTTGTATATTGGTAGAAGCCCAGACGTACAGGCCGGAGGAAAAACAAATACATTTATACAATTACGGAGTTTGTGTGGATGGATGGAAGGGAAAAGGAAAAAGAATACTTGAGAGGGGAATGTCTGATTAGCGACAGCAGAAATAAGTCTGTATAGATGCATTTTCTTTCTTTTCCTTTCCCCTTTCCCCTTTTCTTGTTCTTCTTGGCTGTTGATAATAGTTGTGTTGGACTCTTTACTTTATTATATTGTGTAAAGTGGCCAAAGAAGAAAAGAAAAGAAAGAAAAAAAAAAAAGAGAGGAGGGGGTGAGATGGTGTGCGTGTGTGTGTATTTCTTTTAAATTGTTTTTTTTTTTTTTCTTTCTTTCTTTCTCACAAGTACCCTTGTAAATAAATGAGGGTAATTATTTTATCTTTCCCCCTTTTTTCTTTATTTTTCTCTCTGTTAATCCATCAGTGTGTTGTTATTGTTATTTTTCCAACCCTCTTTTCCATAGATATACGCTCAAAGAATATATATATATATATATATATATATATATATATTCGTACTTGTGATTGTGTGAGTGTGTCTGTGTGAGTTTTTTTCTTTATTAATGTTTGTGATTGTATATAAATGTTTTTTCTTTCTTTTTTTTTTTTTTAAACTTCTTGATTTTCCTCTTTTTTTCCTTATTGATACTCTTTACTTTCCCTTTCTCTCCTTTGTCTTCTTAGGGTTGGTGTTTACTCTTCAAAAGAAAGGAGAATAAACACATATCGGAGAATATATAGATATATATATATATATTCAGTACGGAAGAAACACAGATATTAAAAAAAGAAAAAAAAAGGTGTTGTGTAGGAAAAGAAAAGAAAAATAAAAAAAGAAGGCATTAACTCTGGTCTCAACAACAACAATCAATCAATCAATAAGAATAAGAAAATAGTAAACGTATTCTCGTGAAGTATACACAAGTGTGTACTAACGTATTTATAGTGAGAAGGGGGGAGAAACAACAACAATAACATCATTTCCGGGAAGTTCTTTTCATCGTTGACTATATTAATCAATCAATCAATCTATCTATCTATCTATTCCCTGTAGGAACCACTATTATTATTATTATTATTATTATTATTATTATTATTATTATTATTCATTTAAACCCCCTCTATCCAAATAAAAATAAGAAGAAGAGACTCTTAAGATCATTGAAATAGTTAAAAAAAAAAAAAAACGGGGAGAGCGACCACGTCTACTTTAGTCAGACAACGCATGTCTTCTTCCACGACATGTGCCATCACCCCATCCAATAATGATAATAATAATAATAATAATAATAATAATAATAATAATAAAGCCAAACTCAACAACAACAAGAATACTCCTATTATTACTACTCCTACTCCTACTTCTATTATTACGAATGCTAATAAAAACAATACGAACAATACAAAGAATACCGTGCAGGATACTTCCTATCCAAATGAACGCCGGGCTGCACGGCATTTACAAATCGCCTTTCCAAAGGCCGATCAAGACATGATTGACGAACTCGCATTTCTCGTCTCCGCACGGCGGCACACCATTGACGACGCGGTGAATATTTTGCAGAAACTGGAATCCGCCAATAGCGCCGCACCTATTCAACAACCCCATGCAAATAAAAACACCAACACTAACACTAATAATAATAATAATAATAATAATAATAATAATAGTAATAATAATAAGAGTAATAATACTGCAGCTCAGGCAGCGGCAGCGGCAGCGCAGGCAAAGAAACCCGTGAATACACAAACTCCACCAGCAAAAACAACAGCCCCCACTACTACTACTACTACTACTACGACGACGACGACGACGACTGCAAATAACAAAAATACAAACACTAATACTAATACTAATAATACCAAAAACACCAAAACACCAGCAAGACGTCTTAGTGGATCACAAAACAGTTCATTCGCAACGGCGGCAGTACCACCATCATCATCTCAACAACAACAACAGCGTAAAGTTGGTACACCGGCCAGTGGGGCCAAACCATTGTTGTTCACAACGACGATGACGGGTGATCGTCGAGTGCGGGATCACTGCCGGCAAATTGAGACTTTATTGTATTTAAAGCGCGTTGCGTATGAGGCCGTAAATGTTGCCGATGATCCATTCTTGCAGCGGCGGCTGCGGGATATGTATATAGCCTCCGAAGGCACAGCCAGCAAAGCCGTTCCCCCCACACCGGCATTATTTATGAATGGACATTATGTTGGGAATTACGAGAAACTGCAGGAGTTGGAGGATGATGGATTGTTGATGGATACACTGCGACGATGGGGTTACTCTGATGGGGCGAGTGCAGAGAAGGAGAGCGGGAAGAGTGCGAATGGGAATGTGAAGAGTAATTAGAAGAAAGCGAAGGAGAAAGAGAGAGAGAGAGATAGTGTGTGTATGTGTGTATGTTTGATGACAGAAGAGGTATAAACAGGGGAATAGGAAAGGGGGAAAAGAAAAAGAAATAGAGAAAAGTAATAATAGTAAATAGTAATGGTATTTCTATTACTATGGCTATTCTTACGTTTATATTCGTCGTTTTTTTTTTTTCATGACTTTTTTTTTTTTTAATTTTTATCCCTTTCTTTACTATTTTTTTTTTTTACTTGTTTACCACTTCCTCAAGGAAGTGTTTTTTTTTTTTTTTTTTTTTTTTAGATTGATGTGTCTCTCTTTGTCTCTAATAAATCTATATATATATATATATATATATATATATATATTATTTTGCGTGCTAACAGTATGTATACATGCGCACTCAAGCACGGCTTCAGTTTATCTATCTATCTATCTATCTATTCAGTTTGTATTTGTATCTCTTTGCTTTACTTGTTGTTTCTATGTTTAGACGCCTCGTTATGTTTCTATACGTATGTATACAGGTGGAGTAATGTAGTTAAAATAATGATGTTTGTGCCTATTTCCCATTTCCATTAGTATTCTTTGCTTTTTCTTTTTTTTTACTTCTTTTTTATTTTATATAACTTGCACACACTCTGTTTCTCTCTATTCGTGTTTTTTTTTTTTTCTTTTTTCTTTCTTCTCATCTTGCCTACATATATACACATGAATCTTGAATAAAGAGATATATTACTATCAACAATACTAGAAGTTTGATCTTTTAACAAAAAAAAAAAATAATAATAATTAAAGAAAATCATCAAATACAAAGCAAATAAACCGCCAACGGTATCAGCAATAAAACAGGTCTAAACAAAGGAAAAAAACACCAACAAAAGAAAAAAAAAAAGAAAAAGAAAGAAAGAAGTATATATATATATATATATATATATACTTACTTAAAAGAAACCAATAACAATATGAGTCTATTAGAGGGACTGAAGCAGTACACAACCGTTGTGGCCGACACGGCGGACTTCTCACTACTCTCTAAATACAAACCGGAAGATGCGACCACAAATCCATCGCTGGTCCTCGCCGGCAGTCAACTCCCACAATACGCCCATCTCATTGATGCCGCCGTGCAGTTCGCCAAGGCACACGTGCATGAGATGCGGGATGGACTCACCACCGACGGCGATGAAAAGGCGCAGATGTTGGAGTTGGCGGTGGATAAACTCACCGTGAGTTTCGGTGTGGAAATATCAAAAGTCATTCCCGGCCGCGTGAGCACAGAAGTGGACGCACGTCTCTCTTACAATACGGAAAAGATGGTCACCAAAGCCAAACATCTTATTCGATTATATGAAGACTGTGGGGTTCCCCGCAATCGTGTGTATGTGAAGATCGCCTCCACATGGGAAGGTATCGCCGCTGCGCGTATTTTGGAAAAAGAAAATCCACCCATTCAATGCAATCTCACTCTTCTGTTTTCATTTGGACAGGCAGTGGCATGTGCACAGGCGGGAGTTTCCCTCATCTCCCCTTTCGTCGGCCGTATTCTCGACTGGTATGTCGCCGATGCGAAGAGGAAAGCCTCAGAAGAAGGAAATAATAATAATAATAATAATAATAATAATAATAATAATAATGATAAATCACCGGCGGAGGCCTTCGCAGGCGCGGCGGATCCCGGTGTGCGGGCCGTCACCCGCATTTACAATTACTACAAACAACACGGATACACCACGACGGTGATGGGAGCCTCTTTCCGCAATACGGGGGAAGTGCTGGAGCTCGCCGGCTGCGACAAACTCACCATCGCCCCCAAACTGCTGGAGGAACTCGCAAACGCGAAGGGGACCGTCCAGCGGCGACTCGACCCGGCGCATCTCACGCAGAAGGAAGAAAAGAGAGCGGAGATCACACGGGCGGAGGATCTCTTCGCCGGGGAGCCAAACAACATGGCAATGGAGAAACTCTCAGAGGGAATAGAGGGATTCGCAAGAGATACGGTGAAGCTCGAGGCACATATCGCTAAACTCCTCTAAATGTATTTATCTACGTAGATGAGATGGGAGGAAGGAAAAAAAAAAAAAGGAACGTGTACCTGTGTCTATATGAGTGAGTGCACTTTCCATCGCAGAATACATGCAGAGTAGATCACATTGTGACAAGAGTATTGTCAGCATGTTTTTCTTTGTTTTTTTTTGTTTCTTCTAAGCATGTGTGTTTCTTGATTAATTATCATTATTATTATTATCATTATTGGAGGGAAATTTTTGACTGTATGAGAGGGAATGGAAAACGAAATTGAAGGCAATGGGAAACGAGAAAAGTATCAAAAAAAAAAAAAAAAAAGGAAAATAAGACAAAAGAACAACAACAACAAAAAAAAGAAAACGAGAAAACGAGCAACTGTACTTGTTTTGTTTTTATCTTGCTTTCTTCTAATGGAGTGAATGGAGGGGAATAAAAAAAGGGAAGAGGGGATCAATCGGCATATATATATGTTTTCCCTGCATTATGTATTTTATCCAATCCGCATGTTTTCTGTTTTTTTTTTGCTTTTTTACTTATGTTTGCTTTGCCATTTATCATTATTATTGTCGTTGTTGTTGAATGTGTGGGAAAAGAAGGAATAGTTTAATATCTAATACTGTGTAGTTCTCCCACACACATACAGAGACAAAAGAAAAGGAAAAAGAATATCAACAATAAACCCCATGATGCGATCGATAAATGGGACCCTAATTTAATTTATCATTCATAATAAAAGAATAATGTGTAAAACTATTATTATTATCATTATTATTGTTATTATTATTATTATTATTATTATTATTATTATTATTATTATTGTTGTTGTTGTTTATTTTTTCTTTGTTTGTTTTTTTATTGTTTATTTTCTTTTTTATTTTCTTCTTTATTTCTTTTCTTTATTTCAGTTACTTTAATGCGCCGGCTCTTGGGGTCTCACCATGCAGTACTACTGCACCACACACTTCCCGACGCACTATTATTATTATCAACATCATCATCATTATCATCATCATTAAGATCAACACGAACTACTATGATCATACCATCATCCACAGTAGCATTAAGAGGGAATTTCCGCTGTATCTCCACAGCGCCTCCTCTCTCGTTGCTTTCATGGTCTGTGGATGCCGCCGGTCACACTTATCGCCGCTGCAGACGTCGACTTTCCATTCATGAACGTATTCCGCTGATCTGCAGTACCATCACAGAGGCCGCCCCAGACATTGTGGCCCTGCAGGATTCTCTCCCCACTGTTGCGGAAGCTCTCTGTGGGTTTAATGCCATTCAGAAGAGTAATAATAATAATAATAATAATAATAATAATAATAATAATAATATCTCGAATACAGGTAAAGATACATCTATGCAGGTGACAGGTGAAAAAAAGAAGAATTTACCTCAATATGATTTAATAGGTTCTGTACGTAATGGACGTTGTGGTTATTTACAACTATTTAGACGACGTGATTCACTGTGGGGTGGACGTCTTCTTCCATGCTATCCATCACTCACGGCGGAGTTTACCTCTTCTTTTTCTTCTTCTGCTGATGAAGTTGTTGGGAACACCAAACATGAGGAATCCAATACAACGACAACAACAATAATAGGAGGAGGAACATCACAAGAGAATAAAGCCATTGGTGGTGTTCGCTTTGTTTTAACGAATGTGGATCTCTCCTATCGTGGTAAAAGTCTAGCCGTGAGCGGTAAACCACTCATTTCACCTGATGTTAGTACGAATGGTAGTCCCTTCACGTTAAGTGTGGGTCCATCTACATTACCCAACACCCGCGTAAAGGGACAATTAGACGCACATCGAGAGACGGCACTTATGTTTGTTTCTCAAGTTGCACGGCCAGATGTGTTGATGGGAAACTTTTTTATGGGACGAGCAGAAACAATGCCGGGATATGATGATGCGTGGGTTTTAGCAGGGGCACCTGCTGAGCATGAACGCACAACCAATACATTCTTTCATCATAAACATGATACCGAGACGAATCATTTTTACTTTTTACCAGAAAACATACAAAATTCAGCAGGGAGTATAAGTGAGATTGTGGAGATACCTTCAAATACACCATTAGGTACGAAACTCTCACTTTATGCCTGTGCTCAAAGGACAAATAATAATAATAATAATAATAATAATAATAATAATAATAATAATAATAATAACAGTGATAGTAATAGTGATAGTGATAGTTCCGGTACGGTTCCCACACCTTCAGGGAAGAAGAAGAAGACGATGGGAGAGGAAGAGTTGAGATCTCATCATGAGGGAAGACCGCAGGTTGCCGGGAGATTTCAGCGGTGTTTCTTTCGTTCCTCCTCCTCGTCAAGGAATCACAAACAACAACTTCCCCTCTTTCGCCGGTATGAACGGCGGCAATTAGTTGTGCTTAGACCTTTCACAGAAGTATCATTAACAGAAGAAGAGGCGAAGGGCCATCATGGTAATAGTCCTGTGCGCTGTTCGGCTTCCGATGGATATCCCATTTTGGTGCTTTTGTCGTAAATGAGATTATCACAAGGCGTTTAAAGTCATCTACTTTATTATTTTTCTCTTCTGTGTGTATTGTGTATTATTGTTGTTATTATTAACTTTTAGTTATATTCTTTCCCCTCCCCTCCCTCTCTCTCTCTCTTTCTCTTTTTATTTCTATTTTAATTACTATAATGAATACGCACTGTAGTTTTTTTTTCCCATTGACGAATGTTAGAGTTGGATCTTTGGGTGAATCAACTAGCTCTATCCTCCACCAATGAAGAAGAACAAGAAGGAAAGGTTACTACTACTACTACTAATAATAATACTACCAATAGGAACAACAACAACAACAACGGGGATACTGTAGAAACTTCTTCAATTCTATCAGATGTGCTTCGCGCCGCCTATCGTGTTGATACCCCGTGTCTCTGTCGACACTCAACTGTACAGAATCGAAACGTAAATTGCATTGCCTCACCAAAGTGCTTTGCTGGCTTTCACACATTATCAAGCGATATGGATGCGATCAAAGAGTGCGTTGCAGACATCGTAGGCGATGGACCACAAGTATTACAACTGCCAGGAGATGATGAACAGGAAAGAGAAAGAGAAAGAGAAGAAGATGAGAAAGAAGGAGATGAAAAGGATGATGATGATGATGATGTTGAAGAAGATGATATGGAGGAGGATGAGGAAAGAGAGAAAAATACTGCAGTGGGTGTTGGCGTGAATACAACACGTACAATTACTACTACTAGTAGTAATCGTAATAGTTTTGGTAGGCGAAAGAAGATTGTGCCTATACGAAGAGGAATTAAAAATTTAGGTAATACATGTTATTTCAATGCGGTATTACAGATGCTTTTTAATATACCAACTGTTCGCAATGAGGTATTACGTCTTTATAGAGATGGTGATGTCCTTACCTCCAGTGAGAATGAACACCATCCTAATAAGATAAATACAACAACTAATAATAGTAATAATAGTAATAATAATGATAATGATGAGATACATGAAAAAAGGAATATATCAAAAGGATCATCATTATGTGGATCTGGTATAGGTGAGTTATTTGCAGAAATGGCATTTACCCGCGATGGCTGTGGAGCTAATCCACAACCTTTTGTTTCTTTTCTCTCACTCGATACAGGAATTCAGCAGGATGCACAAGAGTTCTTTGCCCTCTTGATTGAATGGCTACAACGTGAGGGAAGTAAGGCGGTGGGACACACATTTGAGGGAACTCTTCTCTATGATCGTGCCTGTTGGAATTGTGGAAGATCATTTAAACGAGCAGAGCCATTTTCATTTCTTTCACTTCCTGTGAAGAGTTCATTAGAAGAGGCACTCAATACATTTCTTCAACCAGAAGAAGTAGAGGGATTTGTGTGTGAAGGATGTAAAAGTACCACTACAGCCTCTTCACGTCAATATATTAGAGCCCTTCCAGATGTTCTTGTGATTCATCTCAATCGCTTTGCATTTGATGTGCAAACACTACGGCGAGAGAAGGTAACATCAACTGTGAGTTTTCCACTTGAGTGGGATTTGACAAAATACATGGATCAATGGAAAGAACAACAAAAGGAAAAACAAAAGGATGAAAAGGAAGTGGGAAATACTACAGATAGTCTGAATCCATCTTGTTTGGAGTCGGTTTACACACTCAATGGGATTGTTAATCATCTTGGCGAGACGGCGGAGTGTGGACACTACACCTTCTATGGTAAGATGGATGGAAATGGTGATTGGTATCAATTTAATGACGCTAAAGTAACGAAATTACAACATCGTTTTCAAGGCACACGTGGTTCTTCAAAGGAAGTTTATATGTTAATATACCAAAAACGTCCTTTATCTACTACAATGAGAGATAATATTCGTGAATTCCATGTATACCCAAAAGGGATGGGAACAGCAGCAGCAGCAGCAGGTAATGATGTTGTTGATTATCCTATCATGATGCCGCAACTTCCTCCTCGTCTCTTTAAACACATACAACGTCTTAATCATGAATTACTGATTGCACAACAGACATGGCAACTGCGACGAACAGAGGTAATGTCTTTTATGCAGCAATGGGCTGAAATCGTACGGGAACTATTTGTTGGGTTTTCATTAGGGAATAATACACGACTAACAAGTGAAGAGTTGTGGGAGAACAAGAATGTGGATGAGTACTTTGCTCTTCCCTCCAATTGGGTACAACTGCTGGGTCGTTGTTTTCTTCCATCGTATGTGAATGTACGGAGATATGGGGATGGTGAAAAACGTAAAAAACGACTACGTAGTGGTGTTGATACTACTACTAATACTAATATTACTATTAATGTTAATACTATTACTAGTGAAACTGGAAACAATGAGTTTGGTATTCCTACTGTTATTTCAGGATCTGAGGTGGATGAAACTGGCTGTCTGCAGGCGACCACAGATATAATGAATGATGGAACCCCAGGATATATTCTCTTTGGAGGTGTTAAACACGCCATTTCACTTCTTGATCAGATGAATGATACCCGCTGTTCACACGGCAAGTTAGCACCATGGGGAAACTATAAATTTGTTCCTTCTACAATAGTCATGAAGTTAGCATTACTGTTGAAAGGCACTTCAACATCACTAGACTCTTCTCCTGCAACGGATGAGGAGGAGGTGTATGGTCCTTTTGCCCGTTGGCGAGTGAAGGATTACTTCTGTGAGACCTGTGCTGTTTGCATGGCAAAGAAAGTATTGCGACAGAAGGAGTTATGGGATGAGGAGAGTGCGGCATTAGCGTTGTTGAACTCCACCTGTAAAGGAACCACGAATAATCCAAACACTGACACTACTAATACTACTACTACTACTAACATCATCATTGACCAGAATAATAATAATAATAATAATAATAATAATAATAATAATAATAATAGCGGAGAGGCGGCGAAGGAGGATGTATATGTGTATGTGAGTGAAAGCGTGATTGAGTGTTGGGAAGATTCTCGTATGTCAAGTACCAAATGGAAGGATATAGTAAATCGTCAAGGTTTCACTGGACTCTTTACCGTTTCCCACCTACAGAAACAGGAAAAGGAAAAGAAGCAACAACAACAACAACAACAGTGGGAAGAAGATAGTGTTCTCATCTCAACACCTCCAATTCCTGATGTGGGCAAGTTACTTTGTGAACATGGTCTAATCGCTCCATCTGCGGCAGTTCGTGTTGTTCCTGTTAATCTTTGGTTCTATCTTCGCGAACGAGTTCTGCGACCTCTCTTCCATGATGATAAGAATATTAATAATAATAATGATAGTGATGTTTGGATGGATCAGATGTTGCCGTATCTGCCCACTCACACAACGCCCAAATGCCCAAACTGCATTCAACAGAGTGTCACTACAACAAGCGAACGTCACAGGATGAGAGTGGCAAAGATGGAAGAACGAAAACGATTTGCAACGATTGCCACTGCAAGTCAACTCCTCTCTGCCTCACTTGCCGATATGTTATCACAACATCCAAATCGTTCTATTTGGAAGCGAGATCTTGAACGCGCCTTTCGCGAGCACCGACGTTCATGGGAAAAGGACCGGGATTCCGCTGTTGCAGCATTAGAGAAGAAGATCGAGACATTGAAAAGAGAGGAAAAAGAACAGAAAACGGCACAGGCTAATTGGAATGTTAGAGTAGTGCGTACAGGAGGCAAAAGGCGTAATGTAAATCGATCGAATGAGTCACCACCAGGAGGAGAGATTCAACCTACAGCATTAACTCCTCCAGCGGATACTACTACTACTACTACTACTACTACTACTACTACTACTACTACTACTACTACTACTAATACTAATACTACTAGTACTACTTTATCTCCAGTGGAGTTGACAGAGAAGGCACTTCAATCAAAACTGGCTGAAACTTGTCCAGAGATGTGCACTTTATACGGCTGTGTTCCACTCTGGTGGGTGCGGGAGTGGCGGCAGTGGTGTGCAGATGTGGACGGTGTTGTTCAGCCACCACCGCGTTTTCATCACGCCGCCCTACGCTGCCCTCATGGCGGTGCAATACTCCCACCGCATCTACTTAATTCCACAGATCCGTTTTGGGAGGCGAAGTCTACTGCCAAACACCTCTGGCAAGTACTCCAGCGTCGGGCAGTCAGTCTTGACACTAATAATAATAATAATAATAATAATAATAACGATAATGATAATGATGATGTTGTTTTCGTTTCGGGTAGTCATGATGTTATTGCTGAGGATAGTAGTGACCCATTAGGGATTCCCCCATTGGTGTTAGTACCTATGAAGGAGTTTCTGAGTATATTGGAAGTCTACGGAGATTCAGACATGCTTCTTCCAATGGAAGATAATAATATGGAGAATGCTGAACGGAAAGTAAACAGAGAGAAAGTTGTACTCTTTGTAGAACGTAACACAGATCGTATGTTTGATCCCCCATCATGTGAAAAGTGTGTGGCCACACTTCTTGACAGTGTGACGGAATCCTCTCGTTGTTTTATGAATGGTTCACTCAAACTACAATTGCACCTTCGACGTAGTAAGAAGAACTTCTACGACGCCAATGATATCCTTCGCGGTGTACACCACAACACCACACTGCGTGAACTCAAATTGGCGATAGCACGACAGGTGGCAAATGCACATCAGTTTATTTTACCAACAGATGAGATGGAGCTTTTACGTGGACGTAAACCACTTCGTCGAAATCGAGGTCGAGTCAGTGAAAAGAAGGGATCTTCTTATCCTAATGAGGTTCGTACTTCACAGCGGGTGGTTGTGGATGTGGATGCCGACCCCACTCCCTCTTCCTCACAGAAAGATAAAAATAATAATAATAATAATAATAATAATAATAATAATAATAATAATAATAATAATAATAATAATGAGGAGGAAGAGGGATGTACACTGTTTGAATGTGGACTCTGTGATGGGGATGTGCTCACAGTAAACGCCACAGAGCGGGTTCTCACAAAAATAAAAGATATCGAAGATGAAGTGGAAGTGTGGGAGGAAGTACCACCGGAGGTATTACGGCAGATGGAGGAACAACAAACCGCCTTCGCCGCAACGCGGCTTTACACTGCTGTGAATGAAGGCGGAAAGAATAATGAGAGAACGGCAGTGATGAGAGGAACGACGGCGGAGGTGCAGTTGGCATGTGAGGTGTGTACGTTTATTAATTCACCTGGACGAGTTTGCTGTGAAATGTGTGAGACACCACTGAAGAAGTGATGTTGCTAATAGTCGAGATTTCAAGCAAATGAAGAGAAGTGAGGGAGTTATTCTAGTAAGGACCCATTTTTTTTTTTTTTTTTTTACTTCTGCTGTTGCTTACTGTTCTTTTTATGAAGAAAAGATCAGCTACGAAAAAGAGTAATAGAAAAAAAAAAGAAAAAAAAAAGAGCATCTGGTGAATGCACTCCTTCTCTCTGTGTGTGTGTATATATGAGTATTATTTACCCTCCTCTCCATTGATGTAATCATTGATTTCTCTTATTTGCTTCTTCTTCTTTTGTTGTTGTTGTTTTAATATTCTCTGTTTCTCTTTTCTCCATTTCTTTCTCATATAAACTTGATGGTACAAGAAAAGTAAAAACAAAAAAAGACAAGGTTAAGGTTAGAACCAAAATATCCAAAAAGTAAAAAAAAAAAAAAGAAGTTTAGTCACGTGAATACACAAAAATATATTATTGAGCGTACAACATTATATAAATATATATATATATATATATATATATATATATTTATATATATATAAATATGAAAGAGTAAATTCTGTTTCCATTTCTCTTTACACCCATACTTTGTTCTCATTTTAGCATCTGCGATAAAGAAACAAAGCAATTGGAAGAAGAGTTATGTGAAGATGAAAAAAATACGTAATAATGTTAATTTGAATTTATTAGTGTTTTCTTTTCTTTTCTCTTTTTTCCACTTTAATCCATCTCGTTTTCATCCATTACAGAGGAGGAGGGATAAATATAATGGATGTAGAAGAGAGACATCTGCAAAGAGAAAAGAAGTAAATGTCATTGCAATCGCTTCTTTATTTCTTTTCTGACGGATTACTTCTAATTTACTCATACATGTGTGAATAATAGTGAAGATCAAATGGTCTGTAGATACGGGCAACAATCTACTATAAGCGTAGAACTAATAAACAATAAGTAAATATAATATGTGTAAGTTTTTTTTTTTTTTATTTTACCCCATCGGTACATGTTTCTATTGGTACATACACTATTACGGAAAAATAAAAGGAATTGATTCCTATTACTATTTTATTTTTTATTTTATTTTTTTTTTTTCTGCTCGTTTTGCTTACTACCGTTTTAATAATAAAAACAAAACTTAGGCCAGAATACATTATCCACATATATCCTAAAAGGGATTTGGTCTTGTTTGCGTGGTGTTTACATATAACTTCCTTTATACACACACGTTCACATTCCATACTCGAGAAAAGAGAAACAAACAAACAAAAAACATAAATAAATAAAATGACGAAGATTGAACTTCCCACTCTTGTTGACTGTCATGTTCATTTCCGTGAGCCTGGACTCGAGCAAAAAGGAGACATGCGGAGTGAGTCTGAGGCGGCTTATGCTGGTGGAATAGACGTTGTGTGTGATATGCCCAACACGAAGCCACCAACACAGACGATTGCGGCTTTTGCAGATAAAGTTCAGCGCGCCAAGGCGGTAGAGTCTCTCTGTGATATTCGCTTTTTCTTTGGTGCCACAGCCCATGAACATCTTAAGGAGTTGGAAGAGCTTTGGACAAACCCGCAACATGCCAACCTTAAGTCTCGCTGTGCTGGACTGAAATTATATCTTGACAACTCCACCGGTGATCTTAAGAGCAGCACAGAGGTCACAGAAGCGGCATTTGCACTCTGCGGCCGTTTAGGCATTACACTTGTTGCTCACTGTGAACATGCAGGCCACAATGATACCGCATCCACTGCACATCCATACACAGATGCCGCCTCTCACTCTCTACGCCGCCCTGCTGAATCTGAAGTTGCCTCCATCGCCGACGCTATTGAACTCGCACGGCAACACGGAACACATCTGCACATTGCACACTTATCTACAGGAGAGGGACTTGATCATGTACGCCGCGCTCGATTAGATGGACTGCACGTTACAGCCGAAGTCACACCCCATCATCTCTTCTTAACAACAGAAGACTACAGCTGCTGTGGGGCCCGTGTGAAGGTGAATCCTCCGATACGTCCGCCGCAGCATCATGAACGACTCTGGGAAGGTGTGCTTGACGGAACGGTGGACTGCATTGGCACAGATCACGCACCCCACACACTGGAGGAGAAGAATGATGCGGGAAATCCACCAAGTGGAATGCCATCTATTGAAGTAGTAGTGCCATTGTTGCTTACAGTGTGCGCTGGGCATTGGCCTCATCCTACGGCAAAAAAACCAAAGGCACTTGAGTCACGTCAACTTAAGGTAGATGATATTGTACGACTTATGCATACAAATCCCAATCGTATTTTTAATTTGGGACTTTCAGATGAGAAGAAGCGCAGTTTTGATCTATCCACTGAGTGGGTTGTACAAGAGTCAATGCTAAAATCAAAATGCCGTTGGTCGCCATACGCCAATTGGCGGTTGGTGGGTAAAGCATTGTAAATGAGGTGAAATTATTAACGGTGTTCCTAGATTTAAAGGAGACAAAAAGAAAAAAGAGAAAGCACTGTAAAAGGTGAGGAAAGTATAAAAAAAAAATAATGGATTATTGTTTCTATTAAAATATTGTAAGCAATTGCCATTATTACTGATTTATATATTTTTTTTTTGTCGCGTTTTTATTTTTACCGTATTTGTATTGTTTTATTTATTTCTAATGGTCAATCCAGTAATAACGAGAGAGAGAGAGAAAAAATATATATATATTAACAAAAAAAATTCTTTTCCTTCTTCTTCTTCTTCTTCTTCTTCTTCTTCTTCTTCTTCTTTTGCCTTTGGGTCTGGTTGGGTGGTTGGAGAGTCTCATCAGTCTGAAAAGCAAAAAGACAGCAAGAAAAGAGTATAATAATAATAAAAAGATAAAACATTAAATTATTTTTAAAAAAAGAAAATGTCTACGACTTTCTTTGATATGCTTAATGAACGAGCAAAGACCACACTGCTTTGCATTGGACTTGACCCCCGGGCGAAGAATGCCGCTGATGCTGCAGAGGAATGCATGCGTCTCATTGACGCCACCAAAGAATATGCTGCCGCGTATAAACCAAACGCTGCATTCTTTGAGTTCTTTGGTAAAGATGGTTGGGCTGCACTACAACGGGTCATTGCACACGTCCCTGCAAACATCCCTGTAGTACTGGATGCCAAGCGTGGTGATATCGCTGACACCGCTGATGCCTACGCGAAGTCTGCCTTTGAACACTTAAAGGCCCACGCCATTACAGCTTCTCCCTACATGGGTGGAGACTCCCTCTCACCATTCCTGCAATACGCATCTAAGGGTGTGTTTATTCTTTGCAAGACATCTAACAAGGGTTCTGGTGAACTTCAATGTCTTCAAGTGGATGGACGAAATCTCTATGAGGCCGTTGCTGAACATGCAGAAACGGTATGGAATCGCAATCACAATGTTGGTCTTGTTGTCGGGGCCACAGATCCAGTGGCGCTTGGACGTGTGCGAGCACGAGCCCCTACACTGTGGTTTCTCGTTCCCGGCATTGGCGCTCAGGGTGGAAATCTCAAAGCCGCCCTCGACGCTGGACTGAGGGCAGATGGAAGTGGAATGCTTATTAACGTCTCACGTGCAGTGGCCCGTGCAGAGGACCCACGTGCGGCGGCACAGAAACTCTGTGAAGATATTAACATCATTCGGTTTAACCGCAGTACATCATCGGACTTGGCAATGGCCCTCGTCGCCTCCCGCTGTGTGCGGTTTGGAAACTTCACGCTGAAGTCTGGAAAGAAGTCCCCCATCTATTTGGATCTCCGCCGACTCGTCACACACCCATCTATTCTTCGCATGGTGGCACGCGAGTACGCGAAGGTGTTGCGTCATTTACGCTTTGATCGCATTGCGGGATTGCCGTACGCTGCACTTCCTATTGCTACAGCCATCTCACTTGAGATGAATGTGCCACTCATTTACCCACGCCGAGAGGCAAAGGCCTACGGTACACAGGCCGCCATTGAGGGTGAGTTCAAGAAGGGTGATCGCGTTGTGATTATTGATGATCTCGTCACTACAGGTGAAACCAAAGTGGAGGCAATTGAGAAACTGAAGTCTGCCGGATTAGAGATTGTTTCTATTGTGGTTCTTATTGATCGTGAAATGGGTGCGAAGAAGTTTCTTAATTCTCTTGGTTATGATTTTGAGGCAGTCGTCACTCTCTCGCGGCTGCTGCCATTGTGGTTACAGGCTGGTGCTATCACCGATAAGCAGTTGAGTGAGGTTCGTGCCTTTATGGCGACGACGGCGAGTAAACTTTAAAGAACAGAAAAAGAAAATAAATAGTAAAGAATTAGTGGTATAAAAATGTTGACGATAACAAAAGTGCTTCACACGCACATATACACACAAGAAAAAAAAAAATCGATACGTACACTAATAACGCCTTTAAAAGAAAAAAATACCCATGTTGATAGGGAACACACACACACACGAAAAAAAAAAGAGGAAAAAAAACAAGAGCAACTCCACTGAGGCATACTTAAGTATAGATAATTTCATTGAGGTAAATGAATGTAGTTTCCCATTTTCTGTTGTTTTGAAGTGCATTGGTCGCCTCCCAAAAGATCAAATACGCAAAAGAGAAACAGCTGAACAGACAAGAAGAAATAAAAAAAAATGAGGGTACAATGAGCAAAAAAAAAAAAAAAAAAGGAAAAGAGAAGTCATTTATCACTACCAGAAAATAAAATAAAAATAAATGAAGGCCAAAAAAAAAAAAAGAGGAGAGAGGGCTGTTGAATGTGGTGTTTTTTATTCATTTTTCCCTTAAACGTGAAAGTCATCCATTTGCACTAGCGTACCAGTGATGGACAGAGACTTTGGGTACGTGCGTTTTTATTTATTTTTACTTTTTTTTTTCTCTGTGGGTGGAGTTTTGACGCCTGAAGGGAGTATTATATACTGCACATATATGAAGGAATTGGATTGTGTGATATATACATCTTTCTCTGGTGTCGTGTCTTAATTCTTTATTTATTTTCTGTTGTTTCTTTGACTGCCGTAATGGGCATTGGCAAACACAAATAAATGAGTAACAGGAAACCAGAGAAAAGAACAGGGTTATTCCTTTTTCATCATATTATTTATTATTATTTTTTTTTTGTATTTTCTATTTGTTCTCTCTCTTTTTCTTTCTTCCTTTTTATACATGTAATCATCGTAAGGAGTAGTCTCAACCCACATCCACACATATATATATACATACGTATTGTGTACGACAGCATCTGTGCGATTAGTCATACATATTAATTGTAGTCTCCAGGAGATAATAACATAATTATTTAAGAAAAAAGAGAGAAATATAATGACAGGACTACAACCTGTTTCTAGCCTTAAAGGCAAAAGCGTGACGAGTGCTGAACAATTTACTCGTGATGATATTGATGCGTTAATGCGTCTTGCACTTCTTATGAAAGAGAAGGTTGACAGTGGTGAGGTACTGCATCTCTTGCAGGGTCGCATCATGACTCCACTCTTCTTTGAAGACTCCTCTCGCACCTTCAGTTCCTTCTGTGCTGCGATGATTCGTCTTGGTGGAAGTGTTGTGAATTTCAAAGTGGAATCCTCCTCCGTGAATAAAGGCGAGACATTAAGTGATACGATTCGCACATTGGATTCCTACAGTGATGTGTTGGTCCTGCGGCATCCACGCACGACGGCGATTGAAGAGGCGGTCGCTGCGGCCCAACATCCCGTGATGAATGCCGGCAACGGCTCCGGTGAACATCCAACACAGGCACTGCTGGATACTCTCACCATTCGTGCCGAGTTGGGTTATGTGGATGGCATCACCATTGCCCTCATTGGCGATCTCAAGATGGGTCGAACTGTACATTCTTTACTAAAACTGTTGGTGCGTAATTTTAACATTCAAACTGTTTTTCTTGTGGCCCCAGATGCCCTTCAGATGCCGCAGGAAGTGTTGGATTCACTGCAGAAGGAAATTACGGCGAAGGGGGTTCATATTCGTCGTGTCTCTGCGTTAACAGAAGAAGTGATGCGATCGAGTGATGTGTTGTATGCCACCCGTTTACAAAAAGAACGTTTTGTGGCTTCTGCGAGTGATGATGCGGCGGCCCTGCAGTCCTTTGAGTCTGTGAAGGCCGATATCACCATTGATGCGGCCCGCATGCAATTAGCGAAGGAAAAGATGATTGTCATGCACCCACTGCCTCGCAATGAGGAACTCAACAGTAATGTGGACACAGACCCACGGGCGGCATACTTTAAGCAGATGCAGTACGGTATGTTTATGCGCATGGCTATTTTGTATAGTGTATTGGCGTAAGGAAAGAAGGAACAGAAAAAAA